ACCATGACCCTCCCCCTGACCGTTCCCAACTCCCCCAGATCCCTCAGCGCTGGCTCAGCCCGACTCTTCAACCCCTCCAGGGATCCCGGGGACTCCCCCCTGCCCTGGGCAGCCCATTCCAACGCCCAACAGCCCCTTCTGCACAGAAATCCTTCCTCAGAGCCAGCCTGACCCTGCCCTGGGCAGCTTGAGGCCATTCCCTCGGGGCCTGGCGCTGGGGCCTTGGCTCCAGAGACTCATCCCCCCTCTCTGCCCCCTCCTGGCAGGGAGTTGCAGAGGGCCAGGAGGTCTCCCCTCAGCCTCCTCTTCTCCAGACTGAACCCCCCCAGTTCCCCCAGCCGCTCCCCAGCAGACCTGTGCTCCAGACCCTGCCCCAGCTCCGTTGCCCTTCTCTGGCCACGCTCGAGTCATTCAATGGCCTTTTTGGGGTGAGGGGCCCACAACTGAACCCCCTCAGCGAGGGGCGGCCTCCCCAGTGCCGAGCCCAGGGCTCAGAGATCCCTTCCCTGTCCCTGCTGGCCACGACAGTGCTGACACGGATGTTTGAGGTTGGGTCATAACTGCTTTAACTCCGTGTATGTGCAGGTCCAGCCCAGCACATGCAAACAGCTCGAGATGAGGTTGGTTTATGGTAAATGGTGTTTGCAGTTGCCAAACGTGGCTTTCTGAGCCCTGAAGATGGGCTGACCCTGTTGTTTCCATATGGGGGCCTGCAAACACATGGTTAAAAGCAAATTGAAGAGGAGGGAGTAGGGACACCTTTGATTTTGATGTTTCTCTCAACTTCAGAGAACCTGCCAAAAAAGCCATCCGTTGGCTTTTTTACATCTCTATAAGCCAGGATTGGGTTTTACACAGAGAGTTTGTTTGTTTGTGTCTTGTGCTACAAGACGTAAGTCCCTACTACTCCACGTAACGCCGGCGGGAGGTTTCCATGCTGCTCCCTGGCTGTGCTCACGTTCACGACCTGTCACTGCAGGGGGCAGAAGTTGCTGAGATGCAGGAGCTACTCCCCTACAGACTCTTGGCCCTTTATTATTGTAAAGTCACACTGCGAGCATCAAAGGACTGAAAATCTGTAGTTTTAGCCTGAACTTGTAAAGGGTTGGTCCACAAACACGTGTGCAATTACACAGCTCCACTGTCCGGCCGTACCTTGCCAGAGTCCTGTTGCTCAATGGCTTTAATTTTCTTAATTTGGTCTGGTTTAGCTTAAATCTCTTCCTAATTAATTTAACGCTGACGTAAGCCTGATTTTTTAGCTTAAAAAAAAAAAAAAAATCCCAACCCAAGTCTGCATGCCTTTTGCTCTGGCTTAATTAAATCCTTTTAAAAATCACACTGTAATTAAATCAGTAAAGTTGTGCATATCTCCTGTTCTTCCCAGGGCTGCCCAGCACATCTATTAAAGGACCTCTCTTTAAGGGGATAAGCGAGTGCTTGTTAATGGTCACTCACCTCTTTCGCTGCCTTTCCTCCAATTTCTGGAGTCTCCAAGGAGTCGTTTTCCTTCGAGTTCTTCTCTCGGAGTCGGCTGGATCGCGCGTGGCCCCCAGCACAGCCCCTTTAACGAGCTGGAGTTGTGATGCGCTCGCCATGAACTGCTGTGCCATGTCAAGGAATTAATATTCCCAGCCGCTTTGCAGAACTTCATCTTGCTTGCAGGCTGGTGAGAAGTGGTCCCAAAATAGCCGCGATTAATCACAGGAAATTTGTGGTTTTCGTTTTTCTTCCAGATAACTGTTTACTACCGCAGATGTTACAGGAAGAAAACGGCAAAAAAAAAAAGATCGTGGATGGTTATTTGGGAGGTGAAGGTCAAACTTCTGGGTGTCTTGCAAGCTCCATCCCTTGCATGAGTATGACAGCCAGAGCTGGAAATGATACCGTTTAACTGGAACTGTCCTGAATTCTCACTTAGATCAGAGTTTGGTTGCCTGCAGTGTGCTGTGGGGCTGCTGGTGTGCTGAGCCATGCCTGGCTGTTCCTGTGCCCCAGGCTTGATCCTCTCACCCTGGTCACTTGTCCTGACAACTCCAGGTTTACTGGATGGATGCAGAGTTGGTGTGTCCAGTTCAAACCTTGGGGGGAGGTGGAAATACCTTGTTTTCCTGCTGTTAGATGATAATTGGCGTGGAATGGAGAGAGTGGAGGAGAAATGGTCAGAAAGGAGGTATGGGAAAAGAAAGTGGTTTGTGTGTATGACATACAGCAAAAGAATAACACTGTTTTAGCGCTGAAATGGCATTTTAAAAGCAAATAAAATCAAATTCTCTCTTCTTAGATTTTGTAATAATGAATTAATGAGTGAGCACATGTTTGCCAGAGCCTGGGACGAGGCAGTAGCTGGTGGGAGAAGGGCCGAGCAGTGCCTTGGCTGTCTTGAGTTGCAGGAATAACAGGGTGCTCTGTTGTGGCGACCTGCAGAAAGTGGTTTCTAAAGTAAAAGGACCGACAATATGGACCGTGGGCAAGTTCTTGCCACAATGCCTGGCCTTTCCCTGCTTGTCCTGCACCCCAGGAGTTTGTTTTAGCAGCGTTTTGCTGAGATAATTCTGTTCTGTACGAGAGTGCCAGCTGCTCCACGTATTCTAAAGCCCTCGAAC